ATAGACTTTCTCTGTTTGTTTTTGTCAGGGTCTTCCTCCCTAGTTGATGTGGGCAGGTAGCTGGAACAGTCAGATCAGACCAAACAGCACCCACTGAGTCCTGATTAAGCACATTAGCATTTTATTTGTTCAATTCCTAATATGAAATGCCTAAGTATGGTTTAATCCAAACTTTTGATTTGATTTCTTCCTATGTGGTCATGAATATTGAATCCCTCCATTATCTATACAGCTTATCGTGAAGAGGGTCGTGGGGGGCTGGAGCTAATCCCAGCTGACATTGAGGGAGAGGCAGGGTCCACCCTGGACATGTCGCCACTCTATCACAGGGCTGACACTTACAGAGAGACTGAATATTTAAATTGAACTGAGAAATCCTGAATCTCTGAAATTCTGTCTTCAGGGGCTTTTCCTTAAATCAAAGACATTTTTTGGCAGAGGAGGGTCGTGGGGTCCTGGAGCGAATCCCAGCTGACATTGAGGGAGAGGCAGGGTCCACCCTGGACATGTCGCCACTCTATCACAGGGCTGACACTTACAGAGAGACTGAATATTTAAATTGAACTGAGAAATCCTGAATCTCTGAAATTCTGTCTTCAGGGGCTTTTCCTTAAATCAAAGACATTTTTTGGCAATTCTCGACTATGTTGTGACTAGCACACTGCATGGTCTGTTCACTCAGGGATGCCACAGTGCTACCTAGGATATTGTTTCTGATGTGATATAAACCATAAAATTATAATACCTGTTGTACATAATACTTGTTTAAAGAATGAGGTATTTTATATATTGTTCTTACTGTCATTAAACTCGTGAATGAAATGAACAATGCATGAATTCATTTCGTAAACCTTTTTGATTTCACTACCCCGAGTGTGGCCCCCAGTTGAAACCCTTTGGTTCCAACTGAAGAGGTAAATCTTCAAAATAAAGTTCACAAATCTACAGCTTCATTTTCAGTGAGGATCAGCAATTTCCTAAAACAGCCTGGCACTACAGTCTTCAGCTAACATTACTCTAACAGGAGTAAATAGTGTATTTGTTGGGAAATATTTTAAGCTGCAGATCAATACACATTTGAGCAGCTAGTGGGTATTTGCATTAGAATACTGGATTGATTCAAAGTGCATGGTCATCACAATGAAGGAATATGTCACCCAGTGCAACAGCTGTGCCTTCTCAGAGTAATACTGTTTAACAGATCGACAGTTATGAGGCGCACCCTTGCTGTCAGGGCATTTACAGGTTTTGTTGGTCTGGTATGACCAGAATCTTGGCTAATGCTTACAAACTAGATTTATTTTTCAAGCCTGATCATTAACATAAAACCAACCAATTATTTGTCTTTTACAGAAAACTGAATTACAGTTTAAAAAGCACAAAAATTAATGGTGGTTTTATTATATGTGTTTGCCTACTATCAATCTTCAATTTAATTAATTAGATCTGTCTCAGTATTGCATTCACAACCATTTCTTGTTTTACTTGAGGCTCATAAAAAGACTACCAACACCTTTCAATCTCTCAACGTCTCTGGAATAATTTGTATGTGCTTGAAAAGGAAACATAATCATGCCTCCCATTTTATTAAAATCAAGCACTGACTCAAATTCAATATCTGTAAAAATGAAATCCTCCCCACCAAGGCCTCATGGATCTGGAACTTCATTGTTTTTACTCTCCAAGTGATATTATTAGTTACTGAGCAGAAATTGCACAGAAAATCCCTTAAGGTTTCTTCTCAGTTGTCTTTAACATATTTTCTTATTCATCCCGTCTGGTGCACTTTCAGTGCTGATGACAGTAGAGATTCAGGTTATCTTATTTCTTGCTTTCACATAATATTGTTCATAGTAAGAAACTGGTTTGTTAGCGTACCTTTTTTTTTTTTTTTACATTAAGGCTTCTCTAAAGCCCTTTCCAGACATAGAATATGTACCATTGTTGGCATAATATGACTATTAGAGTGGCGGCCCTTCAGGCACAGAGTACATGTCCATTATATGTAAAACTTCCTTTGGACTTTAGGCTGTTCTGTTCACACAGCAGAGATGATAATGCAGAAGGTACACACAAAACAAGGAGTTGAAGCTAGGTCAACTGCGATGCAGCAACCACTTTAAAAGGAGTGGTATTGAAGAAGAGTGTTCTCTTTTCTCTGAGAACCTGCAGCAGTAATGGATTTAAAACTCATTCTGCAGCTAAAGCTTTAATCAGTGACCACTGTGTGTGAGGGACACTCACCCCCATTTCTCACCACTGACTCACCAAATACATTCTCTCATTCATTTGTATTTTTTGATAGTGCACAAGCTCAGACTGACAAGACATCTTTCTATCTGTCCTTGTATCTTGTGCTGCACAACATTCCGTTCAGACTCGTAATGCTTGCATCGTGACTTCTGTGTTATGGCACTTATTCAGTCATAACGCTGACATGTTAGGGTTACGTAGAACCCCCACTGCTTGGCACACACATTCTCAGCTTTGCAGAGATAGCTCTCTGAAGCATATAACACATAAGAGTCTTCAAAACTGCACCATTTTGATTTCTTAAATCACTCACAAGTAGCAGAAGTAAGCTGGGGAGAAAAACAATTTCCAGCCAACACAAACTGAAAACACTTGAACTACACCCTGCAAAGATGATGACTTCTCAAAACTAAAGATTACAGTGAAAATCACCGCTCACACACTAGAGCTTGCAACACCCTCTCTTTCACTCAGCCCCCTCTCCTTCCCTTTTGCAGTGTTAATAGACGCTCTGCTGTCTCAGCATGGTGGACTTTGATCAGCGCAGGGTTTGCCAGCCTTCATTTGGACAAGGTTAGGGGAACAAGATGATGGTCTGTGGGTTGTCAAAAGCCCTTGGTTTTAAACTGTATTCTGCTCGATCTCACATCTACCTGGACCCTTAATACCAAGGGACTTTAAATCAAGTCGAGTCAATAGCCTGCTTCATAGATGTAGACTTGTTCATTCAAACATCCAAAAACAGGTTTCCCCAGGTATCCTAGCCAAAACAGCTACCTTTTCCAGCTTTTGGTTCTATGCAAATATGCTGTCCTCTGTGAACCCCAGAGTGCCAAACAGCAAAACAGATTTCTTACTGTATAAACCTTCCTGTGTATTGGCCTGTGTCAGTGCTGCTGATAAACGGCTGTACAGTTTGTTCTTCTGCTCTGATAGCAAGAATGAAATCAACAGGCCAGACATGTTTTAAAGCCAATCCTCTCTGCTTCACTCCAGGGTGGAATTTGAATGACCTGATCAATTTCTAATCAGGAGATACCCACAGCCTCTTCTTGTGTTGTGATGGAGTTTCCCACAGATCTTCTCTATGGAGGCCTCACTCAGAAATTGTCAAGCACAAAGGGCGGGTAGGGTGAATTCTGGGATTCATTTTTTAGATATATTTCTTCCTGTGTAGTGATGATGGCAATTTATCTCCTATGTGATCTGCTGCCAGCTAAATATAGCAGCATTTATGGAATCCTAAACACAGCTGCACATCAGAATGAAGCCCAGGCTCTGTTTAAAAGCAGAGGTGGCCTTTTCATGTTGAAAATGAACCCTCAGGAGACCCGCCTGCTTTTCTGTCATGAAAAGCCCTACTCCATACTTACTCTGGGAATTTTGTCTCCATTATATTTCTGACTACTTGTAGAGGTTCTATAGTAGGTCTACCATTATATTTACTGGTGGTTCTCAGTCACTTATGTCAGATGAAGTGTATAACATGCATCATGTTCTAAACCGATTTCAAACTGAATTCAAACATTGTTAATTACATAAAAGTGGTGGTTGTTACATTTTTCATACAGTTGAATTGTCAATGATTATATTGGTTTGGTCTGGTTTGCATTTGTACTACTACCCTAGAGTCACAGAAACTGGCTCTTACTTTTAGATACTGTATGTGTTTCAAACATTTTTCCATTATTTTTGTATTTTAGCCATTTATCCATCACTTTAAGCTACAGTACATTTTGTATGCTATAGCTAATTATTCACCATCAGCCATTTATCCTGTGACCTTTTACTATTTAAAGTGTTTATTCATTATTTTTAGCCATGGATGCTAGCTAAATGGTTGACATGTTTCAATTATTTATCCGTATTTCTATGTAACCATCAGTTTCAGTTTTATGACTGATTGATCCTTTTTTATTAAAGTTGGTCTGAATTAGTTTTTTATGCGGGCCGTCCCTGGTAGGCTAGTGGTTAAGGCCCAGTGCTCTCGCCACCATAGCGTGGGTTCGAATCAGGGTTGTGTCAGGAAGGGCATCCAGCGTAAAACACGTGGTCTGAATTAGTTTAAATCTTTGCTTTCCTCTGTAAATCATGTTGTAACCTTGTTTCAAAAGGTTGCATTATATTTATTACAATGATTAATATTAGTATTAGAACTGGTTGCATTCAAAGTATCAGGTAATACCACCAAAGAACAATATGATTACAACTGTACACTTTCTGAAGTTGATTTATGAATGTGACACTGGATCCGCGACTTTTTTTGGTATCGTGATTTGTACTGTACATTTGGACTTTGATCTGATCTTGGTCAACAGATTGTTTCCAGTTACTGACATATTCTTAACAGTAGAATTGAAGAGAGTTTGATTAAAGCTGCTGCCTGTTTGTTCCAGGGGAACTGTAATAATTTTCATAATCTATTGAGACATTTCTGGTGTTTGATATTCTTTTAAAGGGCCGAGAGACTGCGATGTGTAATTTGGGAGCCTTGAAGAGGAACAAAATGAACAAAACAGTGAAATTCTTTTCACAGTCCAGCACAGAAACTGTAGTGTGATGTTAAAGCAACTTAGACGGTGTAATCGTAGAACTACTAGCATTGTGTAATTAATTACATGAACACTGAGCAATGCAGTATACTTGCATGTACTTGTGTTAAGCAGTATTCAAGTTTCATAGTCTGTTTTTCTGGTTAAAAAAATCCCAATATGTGTTACAAAAATGTCCTTTTATTTGCCTTCTAGGTAGATCGTTAAAAAAAGGATGACATGTCAGTCAGTGACCTCACAAACTGCTCAGTCCACAGTCTGAGCAGTCGGTAAAACTGTCTGAATCTGATTAACCAGGAGCCATCACGCTGACAGGACCTCGCAGTGGATTAACTTTGGTTTGTTTCTGCAAAGCAAGAATATGGATGGATTTTATGAAGGACATTCATAAACCAAATATTGTGGGGTTTTTTTTTTTTTTTTGGAAACCAATCTGCTCCTCTGACAGCAGTGCTACATCTGAGCCACTTGCACCATGTGGTCAGCAGGGTTGCTTTTTGCCCCCACACCTTCAGGACTATAGATTTATCATGATGCTATTTTTGTCAATTACACTCAGAAAGTTTCCAGGCAACTGATTTGGATTGTGATGACATGTTTCTATCTAAGAGGAAAATTAGGACCTTTACTCTGCTGTTTTCCATCCTTACATTTACAACGCTCCTATTCAGCTACACTTTCCGGGACCCCTCGCTCTATGGCTTCTTCAAATCCTCTTTTCGCAACAACAGGCTATGCGCCTGTCACCAGCAGTGCATGATGAAGTTGGAGGATAACCCCTGGTTCACTGAGCGCTTCAATCAGTCCATCCACCCGTTGATGACTAGTGACAACAGTGTCCTCTCTAATGAAACCTTCAGATGGTGGCAGGTAAGATGGGTAGGGGATTTGTGATGTTATCCCTGCAGAGGATTGAAAAATATGCACATTCAGCTTCTGAGAGCAGAAGACGTGCTGCAAAGAAAGTTCATGAGTAAAGAGCCGAGCTCACACTCTGCTCACACACTGTAATGCTCCTAGAAGTCGTTGGTTTTTGTCACATGGATTGTTTCAAATCCAAGGGATCTTCACCGGGATCGAGTTGTAATGCAAACTCCCACACACAATTTGTTCACATTTATCAAGTGAGATAGAGGACATGGACATAGTTTTCTCTCTGCATCTATCCCACATCTGTAGATGAAGAGAGATGTTCTCCATTAACTTGAATGTAAACATGATACCATAACCCTTCACTAACTTAAAGTCACCTCTTGCAATCTGTCTTAAACATTTCAGTAACTTACAGTATATAAAGGCTCTGTTTTCCTGTAAGTACAAAGCTGCCATAGCTTCAAACACAGTCTTTATGCAGTTTTCCTTGGTCGCCATTAAGCACAGAAAATCCCCTTCATTCGTCCACAGCTGGTTCAGTGGCTGGACAGACCATCTCCTCCACTGTCTTCTCTCTTCTCTGTGTTGCATTAATTTTAGCAAAAGTAACTGCTGTTCAGCATAATAATAATTTTAACCCCAACATGACACATTCAGTCTCAGTTGCCATTGTTAGCAAGTTGTAAAAAAGCACAACACAGTGGCATAGCCACCCCACCGCCAACTTGCATTTTGGCAGTGTAATTGCAGAGCGACACAGAAGCACCAGACTATCAAGTATAAATGCTCAAGGCAGCGTAGGCCCACTTACATAGCCTACAGTGTAGGCTCTATGTAGATTCAATGCAGATCCATAAATCAAGCTTTAAGGCCAGTTCTACTCAGCTCCTGAACACAATTTAATGTCTTCTGTGGTTCTGAAGCAGTTTTGTCATGTCTGAGAAAATAACCCCTGATCATGTCATCGGGCCTGTTTGGGCTGTAGTTTGAGAGTTCACATGTTAATAGAAAGCGTCTGTTATATGGCCATGGAGCTCGAAAGACATGGACATCTACTGTAATAAACCAGGATGAATCAGAACTCCTTTCACAGTGAAAATACAGAGAGTAGTTTTTTTCAGTTTGACCCATATTCAAGAATAATATTCAAGCTACTTCAGCCTCTGCTACTTTGATTTGAACCATTCTGGGGCGCTTCTCTAATGATCACCTGCTGGTGTTCCTTTCCACTTAGAACTCAAATGTAATGCATTTTTGCTCTTTGCTTTACACATTATTGAGGGTACGAAAATGAATATCCACCAAAAATCTAGAAGCTTTTATTGGGTTTTTAGTACTACCTGACACAACAGTCGGTGGAGAAGCTGTTATCTCCACCTCTTCTGTGGTGGATTGTGTCACCTGTATGAGTGCTGACTAAATGTCTGCTTAACAGAGAAACCTTTATTTTAGGAGTTACACAAAAAGTTTATATTTACTGTTATTACTAATATTTCCTCATATCAAAGACCATTATAGCTCCATTGGAAAATGTTTTATCTATTCAATTTATCTATAGGGATCATAAAGCATTCCAAACATAAAAATGAATTATTGGGTACAATCGCTGGTATTTTATGGAGGATTTCTCATTTAAGTCCACTTTCATATAAATTAGAATTGACGACGGCTATGAGCCACATTAAGTGTCAGTCTTACTTTTATTTTATCGAACCAACATACACTGCACTTTCTCCCTTTATTCCATGATTAGGTTATTGCTTTCTAAATTAGAAAATGTACATCACACAATTATCCTACCTTTGTCTGGAAGGCATCCAGTGTCTTAGGTGTTCCTACATTCACCTCACACCATGTCCAATTAAAGACAAGAATAGGAAAATTACTGTAAGGTTGCCTCCTGTCACTATTCATTTCAGGAAATGCCTCTCGCCGGGAACCTGATGAACCAAGTGTCAGTTATAAACAGCCTAGCCAGATGGTTTGGGCTGTGCTGCCACAAGGCAAGGGCATGACCGTCAGCTGTACTGGCCCTCTTTGTTCCACTGAAATGTCAAATCTTACATGTTCCACAGCTAAATGTGATTTATGTAAAGGAAAGGTTCTCACTACTACTAGAACTGTCTTTCATATGTTGTGTAATCTGGATTTTTTAAATTATTGATGCCAAATTAGAGTTTTATTCTTACGATGTAAAGCTGTATTGGCCATATTCAATGACAAATACAATTCTAAAATATGAAATGGCATCCCACATCATTCTATTAGCTTGATGGATAAACTTTGACAATAATATTTATAAAACACTGTGCAAAACCTCATGTGAGATTATATCAGAACATTCAAAATCCATTCAGCGTTTCCAGCTGCCACAGCACAACATGTATCAGTACATAGTACACACTCCTGTTTTTATTTGCTGTGGTTCCAAGTTCAAAGAAGAAGAAGAAGAAGAAGGCCAGGCCAAAAGAGCCCCTGCAGATGGAGCTAAGCTGCCCCTGATGTTATTTTGGAAATGCACTTGGTGTCTTGAGCTCTGCTGCCCTTGTTCAATCACTTCTACTTAAAGTGCCCCTGAAGTCTTGGCTCTCTCTGAGGTCTGTCTCTGCTGTGTCACCAGGGGTTACAGTTAGAGACCGAGCCGGCCGACTTCAATGAAGTGAAGAAGGAGCTGTTTAGGTTCATCCCTAGTGAGACGCTTTACATGGATGCCAGCCCCAAACGCTGCAGAACCTGTGCTGTGGTGGGTAACTCTGGAAATCTCAAAGGTTCCCGGTACGGCCTCAGGATCGACACCAACGATTTCATCATAAGGTCAGTTTGAGCATCAGTCTTTGGTATGGTTGTGAAAATAACACAGTTTTAGCATTTGCAGTGATATTTCATTCCTTTTTCCACTGACAAAAGTATCCTACTACTTTTACTTCTTGGATTAAAGTTTCATTTCCTTACATCTTGGGTCTTAACTTGGTAGCTTTGGCTAAAATATATGATGGCACCATTCATGCCAAAGTAAATGGCTTTTTTAGCCTCCTGAGAATGAGTTTGACAAATTACACTTGGTATGTGTTTTAATACTAATAGCCGTCCCTGGTAGGCTAGTGGTTAAGGCGCAGCGCTCTCCCCGCTGCAGCCCGGGTTCAAATCAGGGTTGCGTCAGGAGGGGCATCCGGTGTAAAACTGCCAAAGGTCAACATGCAAGTTGTCAGTGTTACGATTTGCTGTGGCGACCCCTACAAATGGGAAAAGCTGAAAGTGACTTTGTGTTTTAGTACTAATGCAGATTTTTTTTTTGTTCTGACTCAGTTTAAATACATAAAATAAATTTTTTAAACAATTCATTATTTCCTCACTACAATTATAGCTACTGAATATTTCAAACTGTGTGGAGCAGGCTATGAAACTAAATTTAGTCTATTTTTGAAATCTTGGTCATGACGCTGCCTTTCGTATGCTATCATGCCTTCATATTCAAAATATGACACAAAGAGTAGGGGATACAAATGTCCACTGCAGTTGGAATTGAACCTGAGTTGCTGCAGTCTGCACCCTGCCTTTGTTTTGGGCTGATCAGTGATCAGTTCTAAGACAAACGCAGTATGTAATTAAACCAGCTGCATTGTATTTTATGCGTACAACAAATTTTTTTTGTCCACTAATAGAGTGGTAGACAGAGCTTTCTTTTTGCGTGTCTTGAAGTGTTCCTGTCTCTCTTGTTTCTGCTGCGTCCCAGCCTACAATAACATTAGAGGTGTGGTTAGAAACTTGCCTTCACGCATCTCTGCTCTGCACTGTAAAAACATTTGAGAAATTTGCCTTAAAAAGCAGCAGATGAAAACAGAGTGTGAGGATTCAAATGCTTATACAACTTTTCTGAGAATGAACTGGAAAAGATGGAAAACCTGACAAGGAGGTTTTCTCCATGGGGTGTGCTTTCTGCTGCTGAGCTGCTGGCTTTAGGATAAAATGAAGCTAATTTGGACATCAAAGAGTAAACAACAATTCCCTTTCAGACCTCAGGGTTCACTCGGTCTTCAGGCTGCACCAGTGTGTGTCCTGGATGTCTTTTTGCAGGTTTTCTTTTAGATTAAATACTGATCCGTAGATTGAGCTAAAAGCTGAAGGGCAGCATATGCAAATTCCTTAAGAGTGGAGTGACATCCTCTTGAATTGCACGTATACTATAAATAAAAATCCAATCAGTATCCTAAAATTGTTTCTGCACAGAAATGTCTGCCTTAAGGAGAAAGTGGAATAAAGTGAATGGTTAGGTACTTCTTGTGAGCAACAGCAGATAATGCTCATTTTTATCCTACATGAGTCAAACCATTGACAGTGATAGGACATCTGCTCAGAAATGAAATGGGAACACAGTCCAGTCACCGTGAGCAGAGACTGAAAACTAATGCTATTCAAATATCCACAATGCAATTCACCCAGATCCTCTAAAGCCTCCTTTATAGACTATTATGAATATTGAACAACACCGGCCTATCAGCTAAAGCCTCTAGTTTGATGCAAAAATAGAGTCAATAGATTAGAGTCGATAAAAGAGCCTTTCCATGTGCCTTTGTCAGACAAAAATAAGCTTTTGTTTTTTTGAATAGTGATGTTTTATAAAGGATATGTTGCTTGAAGCACAAATAAGTAATTGTTGCTATTAAAATTAGATTTAAATTTGTTTTTTTTTTATTCTTCTGAAGCATACTAATTGATAAGCCAATTTGTATGATTACTAAAAGCACTTTTTTCCTGTTTTTATTTGATTACAGAACAATACTTTTATCCAGTAAATGTGAAACACTAAATAAGACAGTGAAAATGCTCTTCATCTCTCCTGTTCCCCTAATGGGAACAGCTGACAGAAGAAGAAGAAGAAGAAGAAGAAGAAGAAGAAGAAGAAGAACAGCTCTGTTCAAACAATGATGTCAGGGTTTGGCGTGCAGTAATGCCAAATGGTGTTTGTAGTGAACTCAATTATAAGGCCAGACGACTTGAGGTAGAGACAGGATCTTTTACTTGCTGTAACCAAACAACCAATTCATAGTCCAGGATCACAATCAGGTTACAAAAACAGACATCCGAGGTCAGGAACAGAGTGTCAGGCAAGGTAAGATAGCTAGAGAGTCAGAGCTGGAGTCTAGAACAATCTGGCAGCGTCCTCCCATGAGGACGCTGCCTAAATAGAGATGTGAACAGGTGCACATAATAATGAAACAGGTGAAACTAATGTGAGTGATGAAGAACGTAAAGAAAGGACCAGAACTAAGGTGAAACAAAACAGGAAATAGTGTCAAAATAAAAGCCAGACGGGAAGCAGTGGAACCGAATCATGACAAATGAACTGTATATAAAATGGACAGCGTGTCACCACATGTCACCTGCCCCTATTCAAAAGTGAGGCCAAAATATTGCAAATATGGGGGTGGCCATCTTGCTTTTGTGGCACGTTTCACAACCAGATTCTGTGCAGTAATGACCAGAGGTGGAGCTATGGCATCAGACCACCAATCGAAGTGGTCAAATCATCCAAAATACACCTGTTTTTATGTAATCAAATAATTTAAACCTGTCAGAAAAATGGGCACCTGTACACAAATCAGCATGATAATGTCTAACTAAAATTACAGAAATCACCTTTGGGAAAAATCTATATAATTTGTACTATGAATTTTCAGTTTGGAGGGGCCAGTGTTTTGACCTATACTGCAAACGGCCACCAGGGGCAGTTGAATTTTGGTGACTTCTTTTCATGTCATCCAACTTTATATACAGTCTATGGTTCAAGTGGACAAAAACTGACCATAACAGCTTGACTTAGTTTGAAAAGTCAGTCTATTGTATCACCACAAAAAGGAGTGACATGGACGCAGTGTGACTGAACCATTAAAGTCTGGTGAACAGGCACCCAGAGCCTTTACGCCAACCTTACAAAAAGAAAAATACTCCTGTAACCATGGTCACTGAAGAAAATATTTTATTGCATAATTATTACATTGAAAATGTAGACCTGTGTTTGAAATCATTTCCATGTTCACACATTTAATACAACATACTTTTTTATTTCACCACAGTGAGCAGAACATTGACGACTACAATGGGCACTACTGTGTTTTGTTCCATTGTGAGAATTTAAATGGGAAATAACATAGGGCCTAGATTTTACATCCAAAAATTGTACAGTCAAATAAAATGCCAGAAGATGAATATATTTAGTAAGTGGGGCATGATTTCAGACAGTCTAAAAACTAGAGATACTGTATAGTTTGAGCCAGTGAAATAAAGGCATGGATGCTTTCATACCATTGCTGGCCTAAGTGGGTAAAATGAGGATTCTGTTAAGATTAATGGAATATTGGCTTCATGATGATGTGGTTGACATGATCTTATCAAGAGTGAAACCAGGTACTGCTTAAATATCCCAAAACAAATTTCATGCAGTATTCTTGCATGGCTCTTAATTTACAACAGCGTTGTTAACCTGCTGTGAAATGTTGCTTCTGTATAAAGCCACATTACTGCACTTATCTTCTTTGCCAGCCCCCAACTGTGATGGCAGCATGGCATTATCTACCAGTTCAATTATCAGATGACAGAGACAGCACCAAGACAAGAGTTATTACTCTGCTAGTAGCACAACTGTTTCCCACAAAAGCATTCTATGGAAATTTACTGATTTACTTATATTTATTCTAGTTGGAACATGATCTTTGGAGACATGCTTGGTTGAAAACCAAGATGCTGAGCCCAGAGGTCACCCTAACTACAAGCAGTATAACACTAAGTTGTGGAATGTGTATTTCACGACACATGGGCAACGTGCTCGATGGTAAGAGTTTGTCCAGAATACATTTTTACGAAATGCTAGTTTCTCCAAATCCAGACAAAGATTGCTTCACAAATTATCTGATCATGTTCCCTCAGTACTGCTGTATGCATGTGGGCACACCAGCATATTTCATTTGAAAAAAAAAGGGCTCTCTTGGTTGTGTGATTGTCTCATAATTCATATTTACGCTACTGAATTGGGGATCAGTCAAGCTTTTATTCTACATGATGATGTACGCCTTGCAAATAACTTCATTAAGATGGATCTAAAATCCAGTAGATGTAATAGGCAGACACATCACACTGTGACTCAAAATCCCTGCTTGAAATTGGCTTTAAAACTGGGATTTTCACACAGCTAATACACAAGCTTTCTAGCTTTAGCTGCCTTCTCAGATGGTTTTTAAACTGTTTTACAAGATGCAGAAAACGAACTCTTTCCATTCTCTGTGAAATGGTTATTACTACAATGATTGATATGTTTCTGGGGGACCACGAACACCCACTGTGCACTTTATAGGTGCCTCTCACTAATTATCAACATCTGTCTATGGACACAGTAGCTGATAACAGATAAACACTTTGCTTTTAATCCGCACCCTAAGACTTGAACAGAGCTCAAGTACTGAAACTGCATTATTCATTATTGCATTTAAAGATCTATCATTACTAAAATTTCTAATTAAGAAGTTATTTTCATGTGTACTTGGCCTACTTTACAATCAAGCGTGTTCTTCTTACACAAAGAACAATACAGTCCATGGCTTGATTGCCTCTTGGGCTACGCACACTACACTAGGGCACTGTAAGAAGCTTAGTTTTTGTGATGTGAATTCAAATAATTTTTTTAAACTACACAGAGTCAAACAACAATAAAAGAGAAACCCAAACATCAGTGGCAGAGATTGTTTTTTTCAGCGGGGAATAAAGTAAATTTGGGTCATTTCATAATCCGGTGTCAGGCAGGTATATAGTCTATATACAGT